TACTATGATGTTTGCTGTTTACAGGCTGTAAAAACAAAACTGCCCAGTGAATCGAAAGAGGGGAAAAAAAAGGGAGGGAGAGGGAAAAATAAAAGAGAGAGAAAAGAATTACTTGGATTAAAATATCTCCCCTTAACCTTGTGGAAGAGAAGCTTCTCTGACTTGGCAGCACAGTACAATGAAAATGAAATCAATGCCAAGTGTCTTATCCTGAACTCTGAATGGGCAAAGTTCCCACTGACTTTCAAGATTTCTTCCCCTGCAAATGGCATTCAGGAGCAGTCGTTCCCTGCACCTAAGGCACGTCCAGCACCATGTTCTGTCTCTCCCCTTTGTGTCGAGTGGATGTATAGAATTTTTGAAATCAGCACAGCAAGCTGTGAATGATGCATGAAATGAATAAGCTGAGTCTTGTACAAAGGGGAAATCCTGAAGGCTTGGTGCAATCACTGCTCTACTATTTCCTATGGCCTGCATAGAAAAGATGCATAATATTCTCCACAGAGACAAAGAAAAAAGCTCACCGAGGCCAGAAGTCTCAATCAGAAGCCCCAGAAGAGATAAATGACAGCAGCTCACAAGTTTTTACCGTTGCTTAATTTCCCTCTTATTCCTGAGCTGCTCCCCACGGATGCCTGGCGCTGCCAGCCCTGGCTGCACGTGGAATACACACACAGGGATCAGGGGGCTCACCCTGCATTCCTTTGGATCCCAGTTCGTGCAGGAGGTTGTGTTTCACACCTCACCCCATCAGCAGAGGGGAGTTTGCACCAATCCCCCCAGCATGGGATGGCCAAAGCATGGAAAAAGGTGAAGATTCTTCCACGAGATCAGCGGGATGTGTTAAAACCCCATAACTTCTTCCTCACGTGGAAGAATGGGAGACTTCACTGATTCCAGCACAAACATTTTCAAGCCAGGCCAAACCATGTTCAGATTAGTCTGAATTAGATGTATTCCTGAATAAATACAAATATATTATAGCTGAACTGAGCAACAGCAATAAAGGTGAGCATCCTGAGCACAACACTGATACATAATTATTTCTTTTTTCGTCGTGGAGAAGGTAAAAATACATCTTTTTATGCATGTGCTGTGACCTCCCCCAGTTCTCCTGCTCTCTCTCACACACTTTTGCTCACATGCTTTGCAATCTCCCCTGCTGCACTAAGGAAGTAGAGATATTTTAGGAACTGGAGAAAAAGAGGTTTGATAGGGATACTGAGCTTCTGAGGATGCCTTTGGAAGAAGCAAATCTAAAATCCCTTTTGCTTGACTAGCAGCACAAAGAAGTTGGCTGTGAATGGTATTTGTAGCAAAGAATAATTAATTCCTCACCCTGAGGACATTCTGTTGGGAAAAAGTCACTGTGGTGCAGTGATTGCTGCATCCAGTGGCATCAATTAAAAGTTGTGATAGGGAAGTATGTGGAAAACTATCCTGGAAATCTTCATTAGCCAGAAAATTACCCCATGCAAACACATCTGCAAGGATGGCTATCTCCACCCTCCTTGAGAAATCATAAAAGAAATTGATTCAAATTTTCTCTCTCTGTTATTTCAGTGTTTTGTCAGAATTTAGTGATGAAATTTACCACAGAAATAATCTGAATCTGCAGCATGCCAATAAACTACAAGAAATCTGGGATCAAGGTCTGTGTAAGTGGAAAAGAAACCATTTCAAAGCTTCTCACTTTTGCAGGCACTGAGAACAGCAGCAACATTCCAGCCCTGAACATCACCCAGCTTCAGATTTCAGGTGTATTAATTCCTGAGAAATCATCCTTTCCCTTAACACTGGAGGTTAGACATGTTCCTGTCTTCCTATTAATGATCCTGAGAAGTATCTTTTTTAGTCCCATGTCTGATATGGGAAAGCTAAAAAGATAATTTATGAACATTTTCACAAAGTGTCTATGCTAATGCTTTTCCTGAATTTAGTCTTCATCTCTTCTTGTAGCACAGAAATAGTAAAAATACAGAACATGCAGTTTAACATCAACTCTTGAAATATTCTTAAAATACCCATTATCAGTTTCCTCTGCTAATTATTATGCTTTACTCACTGTTTGAAAAAAATTAATTTAAAGTATTTTAACTCACCGACTTTTGCTGCAATAAATTGACTCTGAAGCTCTTTGGCATAGGAAGGAACCACGAAAATGTAACCCAACAGCACCAAGTGTTATCTTTCACCCAAAAACATGTTAAAACAGAAGCCTAAATATTGTCATTACACTTAAATGCCAGCATTAACCTCCTCAGAGGTTCTGCCATCCTAAAGATAAAGGGAGCACTTGCATTTATCCTGGATGTTGTAGAACAAGGCTGGAGTTGTTTTAACTGAGCAAAGAGTTGCTGATGATGGTGCACATGCAACAACCCAGCACTTCATAGTTTGGAACTTCACCTGGACTCCCTGTGAATGTTAATGGCTCCATTCTGAGCTCTCCCACAGCAGCAGGAGAAGGAAATCCTGCCTGGGCAGTGCTCAAGAGGCATTTGGATTTAATTCATGCGGGAGGGATGTCAAGGGCCAGACACTCTGCAAATTTAAAAGTGGAGTTCAGTAAAAGTAAAACAAACCTCCATCAGATCTAAAGAGAACGTATTTCTGCATTTGTTCAGGAGGAAAATTTCCTGGGCCCAAGCAAAGGATGTAACAGTGCTCTTTGGGGGAAAAAAAGAGTTGTCTTTCAGGCAATGTCTCCCTCTATGCTGTTGGCTCTCGAATTAAATACACTCCTGCTGGGGGAAGAGGAGGCTGGCTCTGTGTTTATATTTAATGCCCAAGGCTGGCTTCCATGGGTCTGCTCAGTCCAGTGTGTGCACCTGTTCACAGCTCTTCCCACAAGCTCTGGCCACAGCTTCTGAACTTCGGGATAAAGTTTAGCCCCAGGAGGCTGCAAACTGCATGGGGAGTTTTACCTGGACATCCCAAAACCAGTAAATCAGGAAAAGCAGCCCTGAGCCAAGCCATTGATGGGAACTTCCAGAGAGAACGAGGCAGAGATTTATACAGAGACATTTTTACAGAGACATTTTTCTGTGACCCCTCAGGAACTTGATCACAGACCCTCCTTCAGCCCTTGGGCCAAACAGGGACAACTTGAGCTTAAAAATACTACAAACTCTGAAAAAACAACATTTCTCCCCTTTCACGGCATCCTCACCCGCAAAACTCAGACGTAAAGAACAACTATTTATAGTTAATTACTGATTAATTAATGATTAATGATGCAGCTGCAGTGCAACTCTGAAGACACCAAGTACAATTCCAGTGCTGGCAGCTGCTCCCCTGCCCAGGAGCCCTCTTTATTCAGACCTGCACACCTGCCTGCCAAGGTGGAGGGACAATTGTTTCAGGGAATGGGAATTGCACTCTTCCCCTCGGGGAGCTGTCCCGGGACAGCTCTGGAGAGCTCCGGGAACACTTTGGCTCCCAGCTGAGATGAAGTTGCTGCTGCTGCCCTGCGTGCCCGTGTCCTGTCCTAGGCTACCTACCACCTTCTCTCAGACCTGCGGCTTTTTTATGGATCTGCTCCTCCTCGAGGGCTGCTGAGTGGGGTTCCCAGCGGCTGTCCTCTCCTGCTGCCACCGAGGGACAGCAGCACGAAGCGGCAGAAGCAGCGCCACAGGTTTGCCAGGTTTCAGCAGAAATCTGCCGGAAGAACCGAGCTGTGGGTATGAAACACTCCGGGTTCCCGTTCACAGAGGGACCAGCCCCAGCCCGTCCCGGGGGCGGTGCCGGTGCCCGGCTTTTGCCCGGCTTTGGTCCCGGGAAGGGGCTCTGGGGGCTCTGAACAACCTCACCCCATGGAAGAGCCCGAGGAAAACCCTGCCCGAGCCTGGCCCGGAGGAGGAGGAAGGCAGGAGCCGCTGCCGGGGCATCCCCGCGGTGGGGAAGGAAGGAGGCATCACAAAGGTGCCCGAAGGCGCTGTCGGTGAGGGGTGGCGGGGCAGATCCCCGCACCCAAAAACCCCAAGCCCAGCAGCTCGGACGGGGATGCGGAGCGGAGAGCTCGGGGCCCGGGCCCTGCCGGGGACACAGGCGGGGAGCCGGCAGGAACAGAGCCCGCAGAGGGGCAGAAGCGATGCTCAGAGCCCGCAGAGGGGCAGAAGCGATGCCCAGAGGGGCAGAAGCGATGCCCAGAGGGGCAGAAGCGATGCCCAGAGCCCGCAGAGGGGCAGAAGCGATGCTCAGAGGGGCAGAAGCGATGCTCAGAGGGGCAGAAGCGATGCTCAGAGGGGCAGAAGCGATGCTCAGCTCCGCCGGCCGCCCCGGGACCCCGCTGGTCCGCAGCGCCCACCCCAGAATAATGCACATCCCTAAAAAAGAAAAAACAAACCCCAAAAAATAATAAAAAGGACAGGGAAAGGAAGGAAAAGTTGTCCAGACTCAAAGCACTCGCCAAACATACTGAAAAAGATTGAATTATGTATTTCCTCTGGGGACTCCTATAACCATTCATTTTTAATGGAGCCTAATTAAGAGTTCCCCAACGGGTTTTACTTCTGTAAATATTTCAGATGAGCTGGCGTTTCTAGGCAAATCCTCCTGACAGAAAGAATAAAAAAAAAAGGAATAAAAAGCACAAGCAGCCGAGGCGGAGATAATCTCCTCCGCTCCCCGGCGGCCGACAGGCAACAAGTGGCCGCGGCTCGCAGCGCAGCGAGGTTTCTGCGGCCCGGATCCAGCTCCAGTTTTAATGAAAACCAAATCTAAGGAGCGCATTCTCCCCCCTCTCCCGCCCCATAAAACACAGGCCAGGCTGGGCAGAGGCGCAGCAGAAAAGCTCGGCCCTGCCCCGCTCCCCGCAGCCGCGGGGGATCCGCACAAAGCGCCCGGACACCGCCGATGTGCCTGATAGAAAATTTATTCATCTCTCTTCGTTTGGGAGAAGGAAGCAAACGAGGACTAGGAACAAGAAATAGTATTTCGTTGGATTTTTTTTTTTTTTTTTTTTTTTTTGGGAAGGAATCCGGTAACAAAACTAAAACTTTTTTTTTTTTTTCAGCCGATATGTCAAAACATGATTCACAGTAAAACTCACAAACCCATTTACATAAGTTTACAGCTTAAGGAAAACCAAGACACACAACTTACTATAAATAAAAGAAATGCGTTTGCGACCCGCACAGCTCTGCTCTCTCCCACCTCCCCCTTTTCAAGGAATAAAACCTCAAAATTAAAAACTCGTGAAAGCTACAGATTGTGGATAGAAACCAAGCGAGGGTCGGTAACAAAACACTTAATAAACCACAGCCATTATGTGAACAACCGAGTTTAAAAACAAAAGCCCGCGGTTTTTGTTTAAGTCATTGCAAGGCTAGAAATCAAACTGGAAGATGCAAGATTTTTAAAAAAAACTTTTAAGCGAATAAAACAGTGCCCAACCTAGCCGAAACCAGGAAAGGAGTTGCCGTGGTTTGAAAACTTCACAGCGGCTTCTAGGAGGCAGGAGTTGTGCTTTATTAAAATAAACAAACTTGCTCAAATATTATTTCTTGTACCAAAAAAAAATAAAAATAAAATAAAAAAAAATACAACTAACGGATTTCCTTTTTAAAATTTCTCCAGAGTTAGTATCAAGTCTGCTAAGCCGAGCAACACTGCCGTACGTCCCGGTGTGGTCAGGGAGCGGTGGTGGGGTTAAGGATTAAGACGGGGAAGCGTCCGGAGCAGCCCCAAGTTTATATGTGAGTTAGTGGTACGGTACCATTGACGGCAGTCCCGGCACTCTGGTAGTGCTGGTGGACGCTGTGTAACCTGCTGCCCTGCAGGGAGGAAGGCTCTGTGGCATCCCCGCCGGGGGGCAGGTACATGCTGATCATATCCCGCAGGTCTCCCAGGCAGGCCCTCTGCGAGTGGGAAGCGATGGCCGGGGGCGGCGAGCTGGGCTCGGATTTCACCACGGAGCCCATGGAGCCCAGGCTCATGGCCGTGGAGGGCTGCTGGCCGTAGGCGGCGGGGGACACGCTGTAGGTGGAGGCGGCGTTCATGTAGCTCTGGGCCGTGGACATCATGGGGCTGTACTGCAGGCCCGTCATGTCGTAGCGGTGCATCTGCTGCAGCTGCGGGCTGTTCATGCCCGGGTGGTGCTGGCTGTAGCCCAGCTGCTCCTGCATCAGCGAGTAAGCGCCGTTGGTCCAGCCGTTCATGTGCGCGTAAGTGTCAATCCTCTGCCCCACCCCGACGGGGCTGCTCACCGCGCTGCCCCCCCCCGGGGCCAGCAGATTGCCGGGCAGCGAGTATTTGTCCTTCTTCAGCAAGGTCTTGGTCTTCCTCCGGGGCCGGTATTTGTAATCCGGATACTCCTTCATGTGCACGGCCCGCAGCCGCTTGGCCTCGTCGATGAAGGGCCGCTTCTCGGCGTCGCTCAGCAGCTTCCAGTCGGCGCCGAGGCGCTTGCTGATCTCCGAGTTGTGCATCTTGGGGTTCTCCTGGGCCATCTTCCGCCGCTGCCCGCGGGACCACACCATGAATGCGTTCATGGGCCGCTTCACCCGGTCCTGGTCCGAGCCCG